TATAATATTAAATATATAATATTTTCAACATATATATTTTTAATTAACATGTATTTAATTAACATAAATATTATATTTTTATATTTTTGTATCTTTAATACAGGAAAAGAATCGCGTTTTTATAAGTATTTTATAATTAAAAAAATAAATTAAAATATTTAAATATTTAAAATAAATAAAAAATTTTTTAAACAAATTAAAATAAGAATATTTTATCTGATCAAGATGTTTATAAAAAAAATTTGATACAATTTTCCATTTAAATAACTTCATAATTAAGTATAGTTACTCACATTTATAGAGAAATACAAAATATTTCCTTGAATATTTATCACAATGATACTCGTCCTGCATGTTTGATCAATCAGACATTTGCGTTTTCCTTGAAATTGTCCAGTTATTTCTTATAATTTAGACTTCGTTTGATTAAACATAAAACTTCTTATTACTGACAAAAGTGACGTTTTCACGCCTTTGATTAATGTATCTTGATATTATTCATGTAAATGCTAATTAAAATTTTAGACCGGTTTGTCGTATCGATACAGATTACTCAATCGACAATTATCGGATAGCCTTGCGCAATGTCATCTATGAGGAAGTTAATATAATATTATGAGAGAGATTTGTGCTGTAATTTTTTTACGCTGTTAGCATGCCGTGCGATTTTTTTACTGCTGTATACATGCAGAATATCATAATAATTTAGTTATTCAAATAGGTGAACGGAATTAATTTGTCATGTATAGCAAGCAATTGATTCAGCATTAATACATCATCTCGAAGAGTTTTTAGAATTAAAACTTAAAGATATATAGTATTACATCACAAAAAAAAATTTATTTTACATATATTCAGAATTATTACAGAATTTTTACATATACTCAGATATATTACATATATCTTTTTGATATGGGATATCTAATTTTTTTTCCAATGCTCTTTCCATTTCTTCTAACTTTTTTATAAATAAAGGTACATATTGTTTACTATCATTATATTTTTTAATATGTGGCGTTTTAAGTGAAAGAAATGTTTTTATGTTCATCTTTAAAAGTTATTAGCAATCAAATTAGATTGGATATGCCATATTATTTTTTAATTTAATCATATGTTTAATATTAAAACTCTAGCTTATACAATAATCTTTGCATAAAATTAGTGAATGCAACCTCTTCCAAACCATTTGTTATCGGAGATTTTAGTGTTAATTAGTCGATTTTTATAGGATGATTCGAACGATATAAATTATAAGATAGAAATATGACATAAACTATTACGATATTTTTAATATTTATACTTAAGAAATGCACTTTCTTTCTTTTCAAAGTAAAATCTTCAAAATAATACAAGTTGAATTTTGTTAATGGGCGACATCAGCACATCAGCAACTCGACCTAGACCCTCGTATACCTTTCGGTGAAAGCGTATTCCGATCGACGGGCTACAATTGGCGCGATTATTTCGCGAGAATGCATTACGTTTCATTCGAATGAACTTTTCGCCTTTGTTCGGGCGTAAAATGCAGCTTTAAGCACTAAGCCTTTGCGTGAGTGCATGCTCGAGTTCAAAGGGAGAAAATTGAGCGGAACTGTTGTCCGGAGCCGGACGTTTGCTCTCGACGTTAGCGACATGTCAAGACAAGAGAGACAGAAAGAAAGAGAGGAGAAATCTTTGCTCCAGATTTTGGAATTAATTTTTGTCCAATATTTGATGTTTTGCGAATTTGCCTTCTTACAAAATAAAAATATTATCAATTATACTTTTGACAGATATGTTGATTTCAATTTTGTTTAAGTATATTAAAAGCGCATTAGATTGGATCACGATTTTAATTATAACTTATAACTAATTTTTCGCGTAATGGAGCCATCCAATGATGAATAGCCTACTTTGTGAAAATATAATTTTTAGTACGATCGATCGACGATTTGCGCTCAGGCAGGGACAAGAAGAAATTAATCAAGGTTGCTCAACGACAATATCCTTCTTAATGCGATTACATCTCCATGGGTACGGAACGGAAGTTCCGTTGGAGTTAAGAAGGAAGATCAAGTATAGTCTCTCGCTATTCTCTTTTTGATCGCATCTATATATTACCATTTATTTATGCAATGCGAGCAATGAAGAACGGTGTAGTTAACAAAATTTTTTGTCAGTATGGAATAAAAATTGCATAATAAAAATATAGATTATAGATTGTTATCTATAAAGAAGAAGTCAAATATTGATTGATAATTTATTGCATGTTTAATATATAAATAAAATAAATAACATATGCTTAATTATTTAATATATATAACAAATATTTCAAACTTTATTTTTTCATCTCTACGTATATTTCTAAGTTTCTCGATCGATTTTCCTCTATAGATCAACGTAAACAGTGTATTTACATATATATTTTAAGAATTTTTCGAATTACATTAATATTTAATATTTTTTAGTTAATATTTTTAAAAAAGATATTTTGTAATTGTAATAATATTTTGTAATTGTATAAATATGAAATAATGAAATTGTAATAATATAAAAATTATGATCATGATGTCATTATTTGTTCACACAGTACGTTGATTCGCGATATCGCTTAAATAAATTGTTTTTTTGGTGGGGGGGGGGGAACGTTGAATATTGTGTAAATTTATTCCGTATTATATGGAGGAATCAGTGTACACATAGGCAGAAAGATAATACACGCCGCTCAGAGAGAAACCAGTGAAAAAATGTGACGCACTCATACCAGCGGGTTAGTTCCATAACTGCATTGTGCGTTATTTAGAGCACCGGTAGCGAGGTGCTTTTAGGCACGTAATTCGATAGTCAACTTTCGGAAATGCGGCAAGGTGACATTAACATGGTGACGCGACTGAGTCGATCGTCAGACTGACAGGAATGGTGAACCGGAACTTTCCCAAAAAATGATTCCCGAAAAGGAATTTTTATAATTCCGATTGCTTAAAGTTTCATAGATAGCGCGACAGTAAAACAAGAATTGATCGACCGGCGAGGAATACATAATACGGCTCTTATTTTTGCTTTCTGGGAGAATATAAATAAAATTTAATTTTTATTTTTGTCATTATATAAAAATAATCTTTAAATAAAAGATAATAATACTATTATTGTCAAAAAAATGTATATTATAAAATCTATTTTAATTTAAAAAATATACATATTATTGAATACAGCATTAACTTACAATTTTCATAAGCAGTAAAGAATTTTCGATTATATTAACTTTTCAAATTTCGTATCATAATTCTTCAATGGAGTAAATCTTTATCGAACTGAAAAAAGCGCGTCTCTTAAAGTAAACTTTGATAGTTTCAATTCTTTAATAGTTTCTTAGCGGCTACATGCCCACCTTTTGTCCTCTAATTTGCTCACCTTTTAACTTCGCTTCCTTCTTGTACGGTCACTTTTCCAGAAAGCCTCTTCTTCCTTTCCTGCTTCCTAGATTGCACAATAACTGTATTATTTTATCACACAATGGCCTCTTGTCTTAAAATTCAACTTTTTTTTCGCAAGACTTTTCGCTCTAGATAGACGTCTGATGGACGGAAGAGTAATCAGATCTCGTCTGATCAAGAAGTTACATCAAAAAGTTGAACTATGATCAGATAGAATCGCATTATTATGAGAGTCATTAATTGAATATACTAATAATAATTAAAGATACATTTGATTATTGTAATCATATATCGTTCTAATAAAAACGTGAAATGAACATGTATGAAATCGGCAAAATTGGTTAAACGGAGTTTTAGGACATTTTCTTGTAACGTTGCAATTGATTTAATATCGGAAAAGGAATTCAAAAATATACATCGTGCATGTGTTTTATAAAAAGTGCTTCAAATATTTTTATTCATTTATCTTCAATTTTGTGACTAATTACTTCATATTTTAATGCTAAAATTAATGACGTTTAATGTCCGATTTTCAGAAGGAGCAAAGTGAATAGATTAGTTTAATCATTTAAAATAATAAGAATCTATAAATGGAGAGAATTAAAATTTAAAGTAAAATCAACAAAGGTCAATGACAAAGCATATGAAGTTAAAAAGCTTTTTTAAAAAACAAAGTGTATATTAAATTACAATATTTTCTTTAAACGTTAATCATTTAAATATTGCACCAAAAATAGATAGAAAATCTTAAAAAATGCACTGTCATAAATTTATTTTAAAAAGTTACAAATCAATCATTTTAACTGCTTTGGTAAGTTAGTGTTAAACTAACAATCGAGCGTGTGTCTGCTTCTAAATAGGCTCGTTTACACTTCTCTTTGCAGGTGCATTTCTGGTTCCCTACTGCGTGATGTTAGTGGTCGGTGGTATTCCTCTATTTTACATGGAGCTCGCTCTCGGTCAATTCAACAGGAAGGGTGCTATCACCTGTTGGGGTCGGTTGGTACCGCTTTTCAAAGGTAAATATATAAATATTATATTACAATGAAGTTATCATAATTTTTTATTTTTTTAAATAATTTTTTAAGATAATAACAGAGATACGGTGATTTCAAATGTTTATATAATGCAAATTGAGTATAATTACTCGAATATTACAGTCAGTGTGTGCTATTTATTCTGGCAAATAAATAGTAAATTTTTCTAATCGAGTATTAGTCTTCATATCTATGCGATCATTATTTTCCTCTAATTCTAAAATATCATAACATTTCATTCATGATTTACAAATACATTTTAATTATAAAGAGAGTTATAGCCGCTTAATGTAAATCTAAAGCAGAGGAAAATAAAGAAATATCTATTCGCATTTCAATTCTCGAAAGTAAAATCATCGATTCTTACAAATTGATGGCAATGAAAAAATATTGCATTAACGACGCATTACAAAATCATGTTGCATTACTTATTTAATCATATATGAACAATCTTTAGATGTTATGAAACATAATAATGTTCGGCGACATAATGACATAAGTATAGCTAATAGTATAGTAATTTATGAATACACACAATTCGACTTAATCTTTTTATTCCTGTTTAGCGTCAATTCTAGCGTCAATAGTTATTCTATTGTCATGACTAAAATTCTCAGAATGCAATTGTTTAATTTAATGATAATAGAATTCGTTTTTTTTTTCGATCATCATTTCCATCGTGAAACGTACATGGATACATTTATAAGTTTATAGCTTTTCCGAAGGTCGTGGAAGCGCGTAATGGTGCTGATCATTGAATCTTCTTATATACGTGTCGATTGTGCGCTGTGGAATTTATGAGATATATATATCTTGTGACAATTAAGATACACACATACACACACACACACACACACACACACAATGTAGTATCTATATAACTTTTACTGTGGTATTAATATTGACACCAACACGCTGAGAATTATATACCTAGACATTGCATGGTGTGTGTTAAACCCACACCGATATTTTTTAAAGTGTATGTACGTATATATATTTCCTGTATATATTCTCACCCGTGAGAGTAGAAATCCGCGCGAATCGTTCGGAAAAATCTTTTCAAAAGCTTGAGAGCTGAAATGGCCCTTTTTACTCTCATTATATTCTAGCTCGCTTTCTCTCTTCACCAGTCCTCGGATATTGGTATTCCAAGTCGGTCTCCTTTCTATCTTCGTGATCTTTCCCTTTTTCCAGCTATTCGAACCGCATAGACGATCGTCCGATTTTGGCGCACAGAAGCTGAAGAAACGAAATATATACAATGTATATACATATATGTATGTATATTATAAATATATACGTATATGTATCTATATTATTATATATGTATATCTAAAAAGTATATACATATATATATATACTACAATGACAAACACATCGCAATTACTTAAAAAACGACACGACTAAAAAAAAATGTAATTTTTTAGTTATTATCATGAATAAAATAGATAAGCATTACTCTATCAAGTATAAAATTTTTAGTGCTTTTTTTTTAAAAAAGAAGGTGATTTTTAAAAAAGAATCATCAAAATCGTCACAACTCGAAATGATTTTTTTTTTTAAGAACTGTAAAACAAAAATGACATTTGATTATGATAATATATTCTTTTTGTTGATATTATTTGATTAATCAATCATTTTCTATCAAGTTGAAATAGTTTTTCCCTTTTTTAGAAAACTTAACTTTTTTGAAATAAAGGAGCGATATGTTTATGATCTCATACATACATACAACATACACATATGTATGAGATTAAATATATATATATATATATATATATATATGTAATATATTGTGTGTGTGTGTGTATATATTCTTTGCTTCACAGATCTCTCGTAATACATAGCCGCGATTGAGTACTTTATGCGAGACGTATAAATCCGAGAGAATCGTAGGATGCGAGAAACGCGACCGGTACTTCTCCGCATAAAGAGCCTCCATTTCCGCCGATTTCCAACTTCATTTCCACAGCCACAATTTCGCCCCATCTGTCTGTCCGACCGTTGATCGCCGTATGATCGATCGAGATCCTGCATCGTCGTATTTCTGCGTCGTGCGATAAACGCATCTAACATATACGTACATACGTATTGTAGTATGCGCGATCTTACCATAGAGATCTTACCGTAGAGAAGGTCATTTGTATACAATATATGTATGCGTAAGAAATAACATATTCATAGGAAGGACGGTGTGTTTCTAATGTTTCTGCCGGGCTGGTCTCGATTTTTTTCGCGTCTACGCAATTATCGTGCTAATTTGTTTAGTAATCTTATACTTCACAGATTACAGAGATCACATCGCACTGAGATCCACATACGATAGCAAGGAGGCAACAAATAGTTTAAAAAGAATTTTTAGATAGTAAAATTTTTACAATAAAAATGTAAATCCTTTGTTATATATTGAATTATGATATTCATAATTACCTTTTAAATAGAAATAAGATTAGCAATAATCTCATCGATTAATACAATAAGTTTCTTATTTAAATTTAAATCGTTTTAGTACAATCACTAAAAATCTGTACATTAATTATTAGACGACATTGGAAATATAAAAATAGAAACTAAATTTTTTTTTCAAGCTAAAATAGCTTTTATCACCGTGCGACGGATTGTTCGGTCTGAAAACATGTATTGTTCTTGATCAGGTATCGGATACGCGGTGGTCCTAATCGCGTTTTACGTTGATTTTTACTATAACGTCATCATCGCCTGGTCGCTTCGCTATTTCTTCGCCTCGTTCGCCACGATGCTGCCGTGGACCTCCTGTGACAATGATTGGAACACACCATTGTGTCGCGAGTTCGACGCGAATATCTCATACGCACTCGCGGATATGAACAGCGAGATTAATGAGAATTTTGGAAATACCACTCGGTTGCTGGTCGATTTAGGATCGGATGCTGCTGTTCAAAGTACAATGGATAATTATACAAGTGCTGCGCATGAATACTTCAAGTGAGTGACATTTCGTATGAAAACAAAATTCGTCTTTGATGTTTCATATTAATACTTAATGTTTGGTAAATGATTAGCAAACGATTAGAGTTTTTAGAAAATTCGCATTCTTAGCGAAAAATTAATTTATGTGTAACGCAAAAAATGTTTAAATATGCATAATTTAAAATAGTCGATAATTCTCACATTTGAATAATACTTAAAGAATTAGACGTTTAATCTTAAATATTGAACTATTTCATTATCTTGTTAATTTAAATTTATTCTAATAAAACTATAATGTAATAAAAACGATTATAATATATTATGAAAAGTACTTTTTAAATATTAAGTTAAATATACATTTTTATATACTTTGAATTTTTGTCTTATTGTTGCAATTATTAGACGATAACGTATTATTAATATTAAATATAAATCTTTCTTTTTTTAAGCAATTCATTTATTCAATATCTCCACAAATTACAAAACTTTTTTTCCTTAAGTCGCGCTATTCTGGAGCTACACCAAAGCGAGGGTTTGCACGACCTTGGTGCCATTAAGTGGGACATCGCGCTATGCTTGCTCGTGGTCTATTTGGTCTGCTACTTTTCTCTGTGGAAGGGCATCTCAACATCCGGCAAGGTAAGCTGAATGCCTCATCAGAGATTCGAGATCCTAAAGTGAGTCTCGACGAGGCATATTTTTGCGAAGATCTATAATAAAGCACCATAAAACTCAGAGCTCTATCAAGTATCTAAGCTATCTAAGATATATATATTTATATCTTATTATCTTATTATGTATATGTATTTCCAATTATGAGGATACAATTATAGACCGAATGATTCTTTTGTGTTACAGGTAGTCTGGTTTACCGCTCTTTTCCCTTATGCAGTTCTGCTAATTTTGCTAATAAGAGGTGTCACTTTGCCGGGCAGTATGGAGGGAATTCGTTATTATCTCAGTCCAAATTTCAACGTTATCACGAAGGCAGAGGTATGTACGTAATGTTTTGGTATTGTATGATGTGTACGCAATATTTGAAATATTTAGCATGACTTTTAAGAAGTAAATTTTTATCCAATTTATTATAGTCTACTCTTTGTAGCTGGAACTAGTATACATTAGTTACACTTCACACAAATAAAATAGTATATAACTGAAATTTCGTGAAATTGATTAAGAAAGTTTTAGATAAATATATTTTGTCAAAATTTAAAAAAATTAATAATAAATAAACTTAAATAAAGTTAATAATCACAATTAATCAATAAAATTAATATGTAGTTGCTACTTAATAATGATTAAAAGTAATTTATAATTCCATTTTATTACACAACTAAATCTCGTGTGATTAAGGATAAGAAATAAACTATACGAAATATTAATTATTTAAGCATATGTTGTAATATAGAAAACATTACTCTTTTACGAAGCATTGAAAAATTGTTCGTTCACAATATGGAATTTATTTTTTAATAAAACTATATAAAAGGAAAGTATCGGTCGCGCTCGTGATTATTGTTTTATTGCCGTTGACCTGGATTACCACGAACCGCGACGTATTCCCGCGGCAGTGACAAAAGGAGAAAACTTTGGAAGCTAATGCATTTATAGGATCGCGAGCGAGTTCGAGAGTGGAAGCGAGCAGGGGAGAGATCGGGTATGGTGGCCGAGGCGGCCGAGGTATGGGGAAAAATGGAGTAAAAGGAACGTGCAGGGTTAACTGACGACGGTGAAAATGGAAACTCTGTGTAGCTGTCATAATGAACATTAAAGTCTGGTAGGGCACACGCTAGAACGTTAGAACGCACGCCGATCCTCGTGCTTCGCGCGTGGAATGCATTCCACGGACGATGACGACGGCGACTTTAGCCGCTTACCATCGTTGCTAAAGTGGGTTTTATACCAGTGAGAAAGTGGATTTGTTGATCACCGCTAATCCGTGGATATACGAGAAGAATCAGACTGATGTATTAGCTGGTGCTCCTCTTTTTCCTTTGCTCTCTCTTCTTCGGGGAATTAGATTTTTTTAAATGCAGTTGTATACTTACACAATGCTTTTTTTTATATATACATGTATCGCTCGTTATAGTAAATATGTGATTAATATACAATACTTGCGAAAATAATTTATGAAAATTATTAATATCTTATAGACACATTCAAATAATGAGAAACTGAAGCTTCTAAACTACGTGTATATATACATATGTGGATTCTTAAAATCTACTGGTAGCATTAAATAAGATCCAGTTTGACTATTAAAGATTTTCTTTCTTTTCTTGTTGTGCGTAAATAATTTATATCGCTTATTTTTTACAAAATTTTAAATGTACGTTAACAGAAATCAATTGAAGATATAAAAGAGTAAAACAATTTGTAATTTCTGTTTTTTTTTTTTTACGAAACTTATCTATTATATTTTTTATTATGTGTAGGACTATGTTTTGTCGCTTTTATGAGGATATTCTTTCCGCTCTTTTTTCTAGGTGTGGGTGGACGCGGCGACGCAAGTATTCTTCTCTCTAGGACCAGGATTCGGTGTGTTATTGGCCTACGCGAGCTACAACAAGTATCACAACAACGTTTACAAGTAAGAAGGCCGGATTTTTTTGTGCATACCTATATACGATCTCGTCTGACACTTCTATTCTCCGCAGAGACGCCCTGCTGACAAGTTTGATCAACAGTGCAACATCTTTCGTCGCCGGATTTGTCATATTCTCGGTGCTCGGTTATATGGCACGTGCCAGTGGCAAGTCTATCCAGGATGTCGCCACGGAAGGACCCGGTCTGGTTTTTATCGTCTATCCGGCGGCTATCGCTACGATGCCCGGCTCGACATTCTGGGCCCTCATTTTCTTCATGATGTTGCTCACACTCGGTTTAGATAGCTCGGTGCGTTTTTATCTCTCTCTCTTTTGTATATGAATTACTTTAACAATAATAATATTTTTTTACATTTTTAATTGATATTTTTTTATTTTTTATTTTTTTCATATAAAGCTATCATTTGATATTAAATATAACATGTTGAAAATATCTTTCCATTAAGGATGGATCTTCTCGCTCATGAATAATTAAGATCGAAATTAATGTGATTTTATAGTTCGGAGGTTCAGAAGCAATTATAACGGCACTCAGCGACGAGTTTCCAATAATCGGCAATAATCGTGAGGTCTTTGTGGCGTGCTTATTCACTTTATATTTTCTGGTTGGACTCGCTTCTTGCTCACAGGTAGATATTCTAATTGCTAAAATTATGGATACGTTAAATACTAATCCGATTTATTTCTAATCCAATAGAAACTTTCAGATAACATAAAAACAAGTGTAAAAAGTGTATATCTTAAAAGAATTTTGAATAAGTATTAATTTTTAAGATGATTTTTTGATACTTCCTGAAGTCTTGAATTATTAAGACTATTTTACACTTTTGCATTGTTATAAATCGTGTTAGATTTATGCAAAACAATATTTAATTTTTAATTCGTATACCTCACATTATAAACAGAAGATTATTGCTTTTTAATATAGGGTGGGTTTTACTTTTTCCATTTGTTGGATCGATATGCGGCTGGGTACTCGATGCTGTTCGCCGTTCTGGCAGAAACAATCGCAGTCAGTTGGATCTATGGAACGGATCGATTTTGCGCTGATATCAAAGACATGATCGGATTCAGACCTGGTATCTACTGGCGAGTATGCTGGAAATTTGTAGCACCACTTTTCCTTATGGTATGTCACAATATAGCCGTATCCGAAAATAATATAAGATTGCTCATTAAGTATCATTTAAAAAAAAACTTACACTTCTAACAATTTTTATTGTTAAACATATTTAAAAATATATTTTTTCTATTTTTTATGTGACGAAGGCAATAATAATATTTATAGTAATTATATAATTATAATAAATTTAATTATAATAATATTTATAATTATAATAAATTTATTTGGAACATGTTCTTAACTGTCTTCTAATTGTGTTTCAGTTTTTATTTTATTTTATTGTATTTAATTTTTTAATCTTTATGGAAAGGAGTTACTGTACATAACAATCATGTTCCTTGTCTTTATTTTTAAAACTTATTTGTTGTTTTTTGTTTTTAACAATAAAATATTTTCTCAGTCCAAATTAAATTTGAAAAATCAAATTTGGATT